AGCGCAGTGGTGGTGGCAGGAGCCTCTCCCGCCTTGTCAGCAGCACTAAGGATGTCCAACTGCCAGCTTAGGCCCGCTCCCTGTGAGAGCGGGCCTAAGCCGTCAGTCAGAGATCCCCTGATGGCTCCTGGACTGCAAAAGGGCGCAGGCTGGGCTGAAGGAACCTCCCCCACGAGTGCACGAATGTCATGCGCTGAGCCTCTAGTAATTTTATAATATAACTAGAGGCCCGATGCACGAAATTCATGCAAGTGTAGGCCTTCCTTCCCCTGGATGCTGGCTTCACAGCCCTGGCTTTTGCAGCCCCAGCCCTGCCCCCCCCCACCCATACCCACCTTGGCCTGGCATTCCCCGTGTTCGCCACCACACACACACCCCTTCTCCCCGGTTCCCTGATTCCACGGAGCCCCCAGATCGATTGCCCCACAGAGGGTGGCCTGGGCCTCTCTCTTTGAGGCAATTGTGGAGCCCCCCGATTGATCGGCCGGTGGCCTGGGCCTCCCTCTGTGGGGCAATCGTGAGGTGATGGCAAGGCCCCCCAACCAATCACATGGCACCCACCTTGGCTGGCCTGGCGCCAGTGGGCGTCATAGCATGGTCATCCGGACAGTCGTTCTGCCGTTCTGTCATTCGGTCATTTTGCATATTATGCTTTTATTATTTGATATATACAATTAACCATCCCAAGTACATGACAGGTACACTTTCAGTTTTACCAGATACTTTTCAGGTTCCTCATCTCTTTCTGGCATTCCATCTCCATGGCCCTCGCCTGATCTTTTCCACCCTCCTCTTGAGCATCAGCATTCCTCAAGGGTCTCCCTTTTCATTCTATCCTTTCTCCTTGAGTAATGTCAACCATGCTGTGGCTTCAACTCTCAACTCTGTGGCTATCCCCTGTATCCATTAGGATTAGATTCAGTTTTTAAAAAAAAAAAAAAAAGAAAGAAACAGTGGCTTAAACAAGAGAGATGTCAGATCGGATTCCTCTCATGCTCAAGATGACTGGGGCGAGCTGAGAGGCCTAACATTCAGTGTGCATTGAGCCTCACAGGGCTCCAAAGCCCTAACCATGAGTTTCCTTACTTTTGTCAGACTCCCCCTCAATCAGTGGGAAAGTCTCCCCACATGGTTAGTTCCTCTCTCAGCCAGACCAGCTTCATCCCATCTGGTACTCAACCTAATGGCTTTCACCTCTCTGCCAGCCTGAGAAATTATCCTGAAGAACCAATCACATCCTGCCTTGGGAAGCAGAGGTCACCCAACCCTTTTGTCACTACAAAGCTTGCCTCCCACAGTCCCTGCTTCTCAACTCTGCTCCAGAGTGTACCACCCCCACGTGTCTTTGCATGGTGTGCAGTGTTCTCCCCTGAGCTGTGAGTATATGTAACTAATAATCTGATAATGATCTCATCTATCCAGTGTTAGATGTCATGTGTTTGGCTATTTTGTACTGTTTAGGGCATGTGATCCCTCCTTCACCAACAAGGTAAATAGGTGGTGATCAAAACACTGGTTAGTCCAAGGATGACATAGCTTCCCATGGTATGTGAGACTCAGGTTGCTTCTATCTTATTGCTCCATCATTCAAGGCCTTTATTCCCAGGTTGATGTCATGGCCCAAATGGCTAATGGAGTTCCAGCCATCACATCTATGTTCAGTAGGAAGGATAAAGGCACCCCTTTTCTTCAAAGTTATCCATACCACTTCTGCTTATAGCCCACACCTAGCTACAAGGGAGGCTGGGAAATGTAATTCTTTATTTTTTAAGAGAACTATTTTATATATACGTATATTATTGATTCAGAGAGAAAGGGAGAGGGAAAGAGAGATAGAAACATCAATGATGAGAGAGAATTATTGATCAGCTGCCTCCTGCATGCCCCCCACTGGGGATTGAACCCACAACCCTGGGCATGTGCCCTTGACCGGAATCGAACCCGGGACCCTTCAGTCCGCAGGCTGACGCTCTATCCACTGAGCAAAACTAGCTAGGGCAGAAATGTAATTCTTTTATTCCAGGCAGCCTATGCCAGCTAAATTTCAGTGATTTTATGGATTGGGTCCAGATCCTATAAGGTTTATCGGCTGGATGAAGGCTGATTAAGAGGTTGGGTCTTACCCTGTGTCTTAAGGTTGGATGCCATCAGAGGATAAGCAGGGGTGTGCCAAAGGTCAGCCTTAAGGTCATTAACTGGTTCTGAATTGACCTCTCCTTTTCTATTCTAATTGGAAGACTACACTTCCCATCAGCCTCTTGCTCCCTCCTACACCAACACCCCACCCCCCCAGCCTCACTGCAACAAAAATGAGATCAGATTGCTGCAATAGCTGCCCCTGATTCGACAGTCCTTCCTACTCTTAGATCAGTGCCTCAGGTGAAGTGAGACACATTAACACCCCCTTCCAATGCAAATCTTCCCATGCAAATCTTCCCACACATACAGACAATTCTGCATGCATTTCATAAAGGTGTATTAAATGCTAATTGTTCCAGGATCAATATTTAGTTGACCACACTACATCTCTTTCCCTACAGAACTCCCTGCTTAGCTGGGCAAAGCAGGACCGGGCAGGACACAATTGAGCTGGACTGGGTTGAGTAAAGGGAGTTTGTTCCAGGGAGATAAGCCCAGTGGGTCATTTATAAGATTAACTAGAGGTGAGAGAGTGTGCGGGCGAGCGAGAGCGGTGGGGGTGGGGGGCA